ATATTAGTATATGTGTTAACGTATTAGTATATGTTATGTATTCGTAGATTACATATTACATATTAGTGTGTTATGTGTTGTGATCAGTATGTTACATGTGTTTATAGTGTGTTATACATGTTACACATTAGTATGTTACATGTCGTGCATTTGTAGATTACGTTATATATGAGTGTTATATATGTATTTGTAGATGACGTGTATGAGTGTGTTACGTATGTTGATTCGTGGATGGCATGTGCTGAGTGTGTTATGTATGTTATGATTTGTGGATGGAATGGGTTGTGTATGAGTGTGTTATGTATGTTGTATATTTGTAGATGGCATGTGCTGTGTGTGAGTGTCTTATGTATGTTGTGTATTTGTAGATGGCATTTGCTGCGTATGAGTGTGTTAGGTATGTTGTGTATTCGTAGATGGAATGGGTTGTGTGTAAGTATTTATGTTGCTTGTTCTGGAGTCTGATCCAGAACCGCCAGCGCCCCGCTATTGGTTTTGCATTTTCTGCCCTCCATACCAATCCACCTCGCTGTCATCCTTCCTCCCCCACTAGGTTCCGGAAGACTGCGGTGGGCTTGTCCTCCAGGGCAGCATTCGGAAGCCCGCTTCCCCTCCCTGCTGTCTCTAGGCAGACATTAATTCTGCCTGTGCCATTTTTGTCCCTTGGCGATGTCCTCTCATCCCCTCCATCCCTCTTCGCAACCCCTCTTGTTGCTCTTCTGTTTCGGCCAGGGCTCCCTTGTGGCCTCCCAGGAGCCAGGATGACTTTTCAGCTGTGGCAGATAGAAGGACACTCCGAGATGCCCTCTGGTCCTGCAGTGGATGGAGGAGGTGTGCGCTCTCCTCCAGTCTCCTCAGGGCTGCCCCTGCGCCTCCATCTGCAGTCTAACAGCCCACGTGTTTGTTTTCATCTTTGCCTATCCTCCAACAAAGTAAGGTCCGTTCAGACACAGAGAGGACTGACTGGCTCCCATGCTCAGTGCCCTTATGTGACGTTCAAAGCCCCTTGTCACGTGGACAGCGTGCAGGTTAACCCACCCACTCCAGCTGTCTCTCCCGGTACCCTCGGCCCAAGCCTTTGATACACATCGGGCCTTTGAACTGATGGAGCATAAGAAAAGCTGCAATTCCGCAGAAGCCCTGACCTGGGGCCTCTCTGCTTCTGCCTCGGCCCCTACGGCACGCCTAGAGACCCCAGCCCCATTCAGGAGTAGAACACTGGTGGCTATGATGCTTTGCTTTGCTTTGCTTTGTCTGTCTGAGTCAGGATTCTGTCATTTGCAGCCTTGGCGTGTCGACCAGAGCATCCTAGCCCCTTTATTCCCACAGCATTTCCCTTCATGATACCCTGATGCCCTTGGTCACCTTTCCATTGGTCCCATCCCTGTCAGTGACACCCATTCTGAGAATGTGGTCAAGGCCATGGGTGAGCTGAACCCACCAGGCCCTGCCAAGACAAACTGGTGCTGTGCAGACGCCGATGTGCTGGGTCTTGGAGGGGAACGCCTGCCGCGTGCACAGCGCCAGGCTCAGCGCCGGGAAGCCCCCCTCCACTCCTTCTCCCGGAATAGAGCCCCGGGTCTCAGCCGTGCCCATAACCTCCAGGTGAAGACACATCCTCCAGCTTTCCTTGCAGCAGATGAGGCCATGCTATGAGGTTCTGGCCAACGGAAGGCAAGTGGATGCCCACGCAGTGAGGGAGCAGACACACAGCCCCTCGTCTGCTTTCCATGGCCTGGCCCAGCACCCTCGGGCGTGGAGGATGACGAGGGAAAGGAGGCTGGGTGCCCCACGCTGGAGCCGCCATAGCAGCCTGGACTGCTTACTCTCAGACTGCTCAAACAGAGAAAAATAAACCGCTCCCTGTGTAAGCCAGTGCTGGGGGCTTCCCTGTTATAGTAGCCTACCCATGCTCTGCCTGGCCCCGTGCTCAGGAAATGGCACTGCCCCCATGTGCCTTGGGGGCGGGGTATTGGCCAGGCGGTTGTTATGGCTGTATTTCTGCTCTGCCATCTTCCAGATTCCCTCCCTGTTAGAGACAATTGTGGGTACATGGGCTTACGTCTCCATCTGCTTTCTTAGCTCACAGACCAAGACTAACACCCCTCTCTCAGCCACAGAAGTCCCGAAGGGTGACAAAGGTGGTGGCATGGGGGTCTCCCAGGGGCAGGAGACAAGCCAGGCGCCTCAATAGAACTCTTGCTGCTTGCAAGGGTCCCACTGAGGTGGCGCTGGCAGTGGCTTCAGCAGGAGAATGGAGGCCCTGTGTCCCCACGCTCTCCAGGTGGCTGAGAGACAGCCACACCCAGGAAAGGGTCCTTGCTGTTGTTCCAAGTCACACGCACTATCTCACTTACCATTCACCACCGTGCTGCCCCCGGGGACTTTCATGTCCATTCTGCAGGGGGAAAAAGCTGACATCCAGAGAGGTTTAAGAAACTCGCCAACAGGGGTGGAGCGAGGATCAAGGGGAGTCATCGGCACTGCACGTCCCTCGCTCCGCGCCCCGCTCACTCGGCTGTGCTGCCCACCCAGGGCAGGTGCAGGACAAGGAGCCAATACCCACACCAGGCGAGGGGTCTGGAAGCTCTGAATGAACGTGACAACGATGCCACCCTGCATGTGGCCAACCTGCCTTGGCCGGGCAGGAGGCCAGCCCAGCAGTGCCGCCTCAGAAGAAGTAGGTGGTTGGGTGAGGGGAGCGATGTCCTGGGCCGGGCCTGACAGCAGGCCCCCATGCTCACAAGCTTACTCTTCCTCCAGTGAGGCCTCCCGTTTGCCAGGTCCCTCTTGTCTGGGCTGCGCTGCTCGTTTGTGGCTGAGGAGAGGCTAGGTCAGCACGCCTGGGATCAACACCTCCCTTCCCCAGAGCCGGTCTGGCCACAGCAGGCGCGTCCAGTCAGGGGCCAAGGGCAGAGGTCACAGGCTGAGCCCCTTCCCCAGGAGCAGGGCCCGTTCAGGAGGGGCTGTCCATTCTCCAATTCCCCACGCTGTGAGCTGGGTGCACATGAGAGCCCCATGTCAGCCAGCCCCACCGGACAGGACAGGCGGCCCTAGAGGACAGTTCCCAAGTCACGGGGAACAAGGGCCTTCGCCACAGAGATGCGCGACGTCTCTCACCCCTCCCCGGCTTACACATCTCTCTGCTGGAACTCCGTGGGTGACTCACCACCTGCCTCCAGGGTGGCGCCCCTGAGAAACACCTGACCGACTCGCGTCAGGTTCCGGCAGGCAGGGCCGCCTCTGGAAGGCCCTCCTCTCTCACCTCGCGTGGTCGGGACTGGGGGCAGCCTTGTCGCTGTGGCTGCCAAGTCCAGCCTCCCTGCCCAACCTTGGCCACCCCGTTGAGCCCCCTGGCTAGCTCATGGCCTCTCCTTGCTCACCAGTCCCCACTGCCCCCAGCTCCCAGCCCACTGGGGACATATGGATGGGTCGGGACCTCCACTGTGCAAGGTGAGATGGAGATCCAAGCATCTGGGGGAGTTCGGGAGGACTTGTGTCCCCAGAGCTCAGAGCAGCCTAACTCCCTACACTGGCCTCTCCAAGTCTCGCCTCCGCCGAGTCAAGACTCCTAATCCACTCACAGTCGCCCCCGCAAGTGGGAAATAACGTGCCATTTCCTAGGGGGAGTCCACGAGGGGAAACAGTCTGCTCTCCCAGCATGCAGTGCATGCACAATAGATGCTCGAGGGACTACACAAAGGGCAGGAAGTGCCGAGCGAGGGCTCCAACAGGAAATCGGAGGAGAAGTGACCCTGCAGGGCCCAGCCTGACCTGTAGCGGCTCCCCATAAACGACACTGGCAGATGTGGTTTGTGTGGAGATGTGTTGGATGCGGTTTGTGGAGAGAGGAGAGGGAGCCCTCCGCAACACTGGAATGAGCAGAACCCCAGGGGCCGGCTGTGTGGGCACCCTGCACCACTGGGCCAAGGGCTGGACCCCAAAGGGGCCTATGTACCCCTCTGGGTACAAACCGAGGTCCACGGGCAGTGCAAATGCAGACCCAGACACGCAGCCTAGAATGACTTCCATTTCCTGGCAGAGCAAAGAAAACAGCACAACGAAAGCCACAAAGTTAGTGAGTTTTTTCTTTTTATTGGCAAAGTAAATATATTTTTATGAAGGACCAAAGAAAATATACATAATTGTAACATATGTACACCAGCTTTATAGATTTTTAATTTCAAATTTACACAAATGTTGGTATGTTATTAAAAGATATTTTATGTCGATGTACCTATGTACAGTTTATTTACATACATTCATAGGATGCGAAACAGACCTGTCAGAACGAGCGAGTTCATTTGAGATTAATTTCTAGACAAATAAGGAATGGTTTCTAAGCCAGGCCTGGGAGGCTCGACCTAGGTCTTCTACACGCAGCCAACCTGCTCCCCTCTTCTCCCGAAGCGACCCCGGAGTCTGGGGTCTGGATTTGTCTGGAAATAGGATGGAGAACGGGCTGAGCCGCGCTGTGCACACGCTCTGGGGCCGGCCTGCCTCTGTCGTCTGCCCAGCACATTTAACTCAAGCACATGCACTGCCAGCCCCCAAAAGATAGGGCTTTTCCCCCCAATTCTGCACCCACCTGGAGGCCAGGTCCTGCGCTCCCTGAGCACCCAGCGTACCTCTGGCAGTCAGGCAGCGCGAGGCACCCGGACAAGCCCCCCTCCCACCCCCCCAGCGCGCCCTGGACTTTCGGCCTGCTTCCCTCTTCCCAGCACGGCTCCCTAGGACCTGACAACCAAACTGCACCTTTCTTCTTCCCGAGCAATAAAGTGCTGGCCCAGGCGGGGCGCGGGGGCAGAGCCGGGCCGCAGCAGCCGCCGCGGGAAGGCACGAAGGCAGGAGGCGGCAGGCGCGGCGCGCGGGGCTCCCCGGCGCGGCGGGGGCTCGGCCGGCCCCGGGCGGGCGCCCTCCTGCTGCAGAAGGCGGCGTGGGCCCCCGGCCCGCCGTCCGAGGGAGGCGAATAAATTATTGCTGTGAACTACCGGGCGGGGCGGCGCTCAGTTGAGGGCGCGCCCGGCGCGGCCGGCCCGCGGGAAGCGGTGCACCTTCACGTGCTTGGAGAGGTGGTCGCTCCGCGCGAACTTCTTCTCGCACACGGGACACTGGTAGGGCTTCACGCCCGAGTGCGAGCGCCGGTGCCGCGACAGCTCGTCCGAGCGGGAGAACCTGCGGGACACGGCGGTCAGCGGGCGTCTGCGGGCTCCGCTGGCAGCGGCCGTCCCACCGCCCCGCGCCCGCGCCCCGCCCGCTCGGCGAGGACCGGGGACGACGGTGCCGCCCCGCGCGCTGCGCAGGACCTGCGGCGGGCGCCCCGGGCGCGCGGGCTCCCCCGAGACCAGGCCTCGGCACCTCCGCGAAGGTCTGCCCGGGGAGCCCGTCCAGAGGGGAAACTGAGGACCCGGAGAGGCGTCTCTCTCCCCAGCACTGCAGGGAGGTCGCGGCTCCATTACAGCAGAGGCACACGCCTCAGGCTGAGCCCACCGCACTCCTGGACCCTGCTTTCCTGAAAGCCGGCCCAGGAAGATGTCCCCAAACAAAACTGAACCCCTGCGAGCTACTGCTAAGAGTTCCCATGGTTCCCGGACTCTTCCTTTCTCGGCCTTGGCCAAAGTGCTCCCGCAGCCCTGGGGCCACTGGGAAGGAGCAGCTGATAAAGGGAGAGGTAAGGACCAGAGCTGGGCCACGGGCTGACTGCTGTCACTGACTTCAGAGATCTGAGGCACTCCCCACCCCATGACCCTGGTCCTGGCAGTGAGACCCCACTCCTCTCACATACAGACTCCTCTGTGCTCCGCCTACATTGCCCTGTCCTTAGTCCCTCCTGCCACAGGACATTTGCACATACTGTTCCTTCTATCTAGAATGCTCTTTTCTCTTCTCCTTGCTCCCTCCTACCCATCCCTTGGAGCTCCGCTCAAATGTCACTTCCTCAGGAAAGCCCCCCAGGACAACATCCTACTCCAGGCTCCTGCAGCACTATGCACCCGCTCTTTCCTGGCTCCTGCCTCTGTTGTTGCAATTTTAAATTAGTTTTCAACTTTTTGATGAATGTCAGTCTGTGCCACTAGAAAATCTGCTCCATGAGGAAAGACGCATCTGTTTCCTGTGGTCCACACCCCCACAACCAGCCCAGTGCCTGGTGCATGGCAGGTGCCCAGTAAGTGCATTTACACAAAACAGTGGGCACAGCTAGCACCCACAGGAGGAGCTGCCACAGGGGCAGTCTTCTCAAGTCCACATGCACACACACACATGCACACGTGCACATGCCACACATGCACCAGTACATACATGTGCACACATGCCACACATGTGCCCATCACAAACATGGTGCACTGCACAGACATGTGCATGCACTCACATGTATGTGCACATAAATGAACACGCACTGGCACAGAGTATCAGGCTCAACAGCCCCATTCCTGGACCTGGGGCCACAGCAAGAGGTAGGTTAGGGGGTGCCCCGGAACAGGTAGCCGATGGGGAGGGACTGGTGGCCCACGTCTGGCCTGACCCTGTGGGTAGAGGTCTTGACCCCATAGCCCACAGAGGAGCAGGAGGTCCCAGCAGAACAAGCTCAGCGGAAGGCTCAGATGGGCGCAGGAGGGCCTGAGCCCCAGATGCGGAGCCTGGCCTGCAGGTGGAGAGGACAGTGCCTCAGCCTGGGTCGGCCGCCCCTGGCACCCATGCCCTGCCATCAGAGAGCAGCCAGGTCCCTGCGCTGGGAGGCTGGCGCTGCACCTCACACCCCAGAGCATCGACTGGGCTGCCGCAGAGCAGGGCTCTCCGCGTATCTGTGGAATAAAAGCAGCCCAGCTGGCCCGTCGGCCAGATGAGGAAACAGGCTCCGTGATGAGGGCCTGGTCCAGAGTCACCGGCAAGGCAGAGCAGCCGGGGTCAGAGCCAAGGGTGCCCTGCCCACACTGGTGACCGCAGAGGGCCTGGCTTCCTCCACAGAGCCTGGCTGGGCAGCGTGTGTCACTGGTGTTGGTGAGGAAGTGACATCAGTGCACCTGGACCCGTGCTCCCAGGCCAGGGCCCCCGCCCTCAGCAGGAGTGAGCACACAGCTCCTGAGCAGGTGGGCCTGCCCGGGGCAGGGGCAAGCAGAAAGCTACAGAAACAATGCCACCAGTGATACCCGAGTCCTCCCAGGCTCCAGACACCGGGGTCACCTGGCACTTCATGGCCAGGGAGCCAGAATCAGACCCATCAGACTGACTAGACCAGAGCAAGGGCTCAAAGAGGCCAAGGGGCTGGCCAGGTCACACAGCAGCGAGACGGCAGGATCAGCCCAGGCCCCCACCCCACCAGGAGCCCCGAGTGGTCCTGAGCAAACCCGAGAACCATCCTGCCTCAGCCGCCTCACGCACCCAGGGGAGACCAGGGATTCCTGCCAGCCTTCCAGAACTTGTCTCAGAGGCCAGAGGTGGTGACACAGGGCCACAGAGGCCCTCTCGTCACGGGGGCACCCTGAGAAGGACACACACCAAGGGAGAGCCAGGCCTGAGAACAAGCTGTCCGCACCCACCCCTCCACCACAGGGTCTCGTCACCTGAGAGGTCCGTGCCCAGGAACTGAGCCCTCAGGGGACCCCGACCTCACATCCTCACCCACACTCTCCTGAAGAGCAGCCACCAAAGAGGCCTGGGGACCACAGGGGAGCGGGGGCCGGGTGGCAAAGATGCAGCCCTGCAGCCTGAGCTCTGTCACCTGCTGACTCAGCGACCTGGACAAGTCACCAAGCTCTCTGAGCCTCAGTTTCCCCATGTGGAGACAGGGAGAATGAGAAATCTACCTCAGAGGACTGTGAGGATCATAAGAAGCAACGAGCATTTAGAGCAGTCTCTGGCACGTGGCACCCATTCAACAACTGAGAACTTACTGCCTGCAAGAGTGTGGCACGGGACTGTCCCCGGGGAGGCCCTGGAGCTGGGAGCCTGCACCACGATCCGTGTTGCCGGGGTACAGGACAGGGAAGCACTGGGTACAGGGGACTCTCCTGGGACCCTGTGGCATCTGCACCAACCCTGGCACACACAGCACCATGGGGTGAAGGCACTCCTTCCATCAGCCAGAAAGCCATTATCATAAATAGTCAAGTCACAAGGACTGCAATAGGCATGGCGCCCCCTAGAGTTGTGCAGTACCCAACCTGTCCAACAACACTTGGGGCCTCTGCCCACGATGAGGATGGAGTCAGAGAACGCCTCGTCAAATAGGGGCAGCAGTGACAAGGGGCCAAGAGGGCAGGCCAGCAGCCGGACCACTGGGTTTGAATCCTGTCCCTGCCTCCTCCTGGCTCTGTGGCCTCAGACCTGCGACTCCGCTTTTCTGGGCCTCCTGTGTCCACTGTGGATGACAACAGTACCTGCCACAGAGGCTGCAGAAAGTTATTAATATTCATATTAGCCATGGCAGGAGGGGGTTCTTTCTGGACGGAATGGCTTGGCCATTCTGGAACAGGACGTTCTGCTGCCGGGGACAAAGGAGGCCTGTGTCTGAGAGTGATGCAAGGAAACTTCTAGGAAGGCAGGCAAGCAGCCACTTCCCAGACAGTTCGATGGGACAGACAAAGTCTGGCCTCAGCCCGTCAAGGTGCCAGGACGTCACAACAGGGGAAGAGACAAGGAGTACTGGGGTCAGGACCAAAAGCAGGAGGAAGTGGGCTTGGCTCCCTGGGCATGTGGTGACCTCGGGGACATCCTTCATTACGCAGAGGGGCACAGGGTAGGGCACAGGATACAGCACCAGGGCCAGCACTGGCCCGGGAGGAGGAAGAGCACACTAGTCACCAAGGCTTCCAGGAAGAAGAGAGACGCCCTCTGGAGTGGGGAGCCTCCTGTATGGGGAGGCAGCGAGCGTGTCAGGCGCCGCCCCAGAGACCAGGCCCGGCCACAGGTGGAGATGGACGTCCTCCCAACACTCAGGCAGGCCACCCCCACTGGAAGCGTGCAGAGGGGGCCGCAGAGAGGTCCTGAGTTCAGGGGTGTGTGTGGGGGGCAGACAGCCTGGGTTGAATTCCTGGCTCTGCCACTTAGCAGCTGTGTAATCAGAGAGAACTTACTTGACTGCTCTGTGCCTCCATTTCCTCCTCTGTAAAATGGGTACAACATGCTGGCACCTACCGTGGACTCACAAGGACCGGAACTGAGTCCTCTGCAGGGTGCCCGGAGCCGCCCCCAGCAGCTGTGAGAAGCGGCTGGCACCGGTGCTGCTGTTGTCAGCTCTTCTCCCTAGCCCATATGCATAGCACCTGACAGAGCTGACGGCCTCGTGGGGACAAGAACTTTCTAGGCCTCAGTTTCCCCTCTGTAAAATGCAGATTGGTGCCCACACTTGATGGGTTGTTGTGAGTACTCCACAAGCTTTTGCACGTGACGTGCGCAGAACACAGCCGAGACCACCCAAGACCAAGCACAGCAGCTGTGGTGGGGAGGGCCGCAGACACAGGGCACCGAGGGGAGGCTGGCAAGCAGACCATGCAGGTCTGTGGCCAGAACGAGAAGTCTGGATGGGAATTTAAGTGGACCAAAGTACACCTAAAGGCTCCAGCAGCCTTAGGAAGTAGCAAATCCCCCATGGCAGGAGGGATGCAGCAAGGGGGGCAAGTGGGGAGAATTCCAGCTCTGAGAACCTCGGAGCAGTGCGCAGCATGCAGCAAGCCGGCAGCCACAGGAGTGTCACAGTCACTGTCCTGCTTCCCCGTCCTGTCCAGACTGAGCTGCCCCCATGCCCGGCCCAGCTCACATGGAGCTATAAGAGCTCCCTCCAGTTTCTGGCCCTCGGTTCAAGGCTACGGCCACATTTAAGGGACACACATGTCATATGTACATCTCCAGGGGCTCAGGACCCCTAAAGGCCAACCGAGGGCTCCCTCATCCTCAGAGAAACAGCCTTCCTAAGAGGCAGGCGCCCCCAGCTCCCAGTCAGACAGTGCCTCTGCCACAGGTGACACCATAAAGGCCAGACCCCACTCGAGGGGAACTTGGGAGAACCTGGGGAGGCCTTATGGAAGCCCTAAGAGTGGCTGACGGCAGCAACAGCTCCTGGGTCGGCTCCACAGTGACCTCACCCTGCCTTCCCCTGTCAAGTGGGTCCTCGGCAAGAAGACCAGTGCCAGAGCTCAGACAGTGGCAGAGATGAATCCTCTCCACAAATCCCACTCTTGCTTGCACACCTCCTGCCATGGGGAACTCACTACCTCCAGAGGCCACTGTGTCGGAGACTGAGATCTGCCTCCCTAAGATACACTCTGGGCTAAGGGTCCCATCTGTTTTCTGGGACAGCCAGGAAGAAAGCAGGTCCTCTCCTCCTGGGGCAGTGGGCCAAGTGGGTAGCCTTGACCAAGGACCACATCCTCCCTGTGGCCCCATCCAGCCTCACCCTGATTGGAGGGGCCACTTGCCAACTGTCAGCAGTGACCAGGGGACTGCGCCCAGGAAGGTGAGCCCATCACAAGAGCCAGAGCTGTGTTCTGCCGAGCAGGCTGCCCAATCTCTCACAGACCTGCCCCCAAAAAGGAGAATGCAGCCAAGAGGAGCCGCCGTGAGTCTGGGGTGCCTCTGAGATGGGGTACTGCCTGCATGGGGCGGGCAGGACAGCTTCCAGGTCCCTTCTCAGACTCTGACCTTCCACGAGAGCAACAATAATCAGCGAAAAGGGGGCACTGCTGGGCACCCCTGCAGGCCTGGCCCCGGGACGGATGAGGAGGAGCAGGCCCTCCACTTTACAGATGAGGAAACTGAGGCTTGGCCAGGGGGACCGCCCCGAGAGCACACAGCAAGTTGGAGGCAGACGAGGGCTGGGGCTCCTGACCACTGCCGCCAGCTGCCCCCCACCCATGGTGTCACCATGCCCCTCCCTTCTGCCTCTCCGGCCCCATGTCTCTCGCCTGCCCCCCAAGCTCTGACCACCCACCAATGCACACCTGCCGCCACGTCAGGCCTCATGAGCTGCCCTGCAAGTGCGCAGGTCACCCAGGGGCCCACTCGGCAAACTGTGGCACGAGCCCCAGAGAGGCGGGCAGCCCGGCTCTGACAGCCAGCGCTGTGTGGCTGGAGCAGCAGCTCTTACAAGGCCTCCAGATCTGATGGACGCCGTCAGGGCAGGGACGTGGCGGGGTAAGCGACACCCGCACTCAGGCAAGGCCGCTCTAACCCAGGACGCTGTGTGGACAAGTCCCTTCTCTGGCCATGGAAAGGGGCCGCCAAAGGTTAGACTGGTCACATCTAACCTCCCAGGCACAGCTCCCATCTGTGCCCCAGCCTCAGCCAGCCAGGACGCCGGCAGCCAGCACCTCCCGCCTGGGGCCAACTCTCACGAGCTCTCAGATGAGTCTGGTCAAGAAACAAAAGCTGCAAAGTGCTCGCCAGGTGCCAATCCACCGGCACGTCCACACACAGGGAGCACAGACACACACAACACGATGTGTGCAGACACGTATGGTGACACAGCACACAGAGACAAACGAAGAAAGCAGGATGCACACACGTGTGCACGCACAACTAGACACCCACGTGCAAGGTCCGGTCCTGCTCACAGACGAGCTGCCACATGGCTCTCTCACACACACTCACATACACAGATGGGGAACGTGCCAGGAGCACATGCCACCCTCCCAGGCAGGCCAGATTCCTGCGGAGTGGGCATCCTAAACTTGGGGGAGCCAGGTGGGCAGGCACCCCCGAGCAGGCGAGTCCCGACCTGCTGCGGAGATTCAGGAAGAGCTGGACATGCCCTCCCTAAGAAGAGGCTAAGCGGCACCTGGGGGTCCCGGGATGGGGGGGGTCCACAGGGGCTCCATCCAGCTCTGCTGCCCATGGGCCGAGTGACCCGGGCAAGGCCCCGCCCTCTGAGAGCTGGTTTCCCCCACTGTGCCAGAGTGGAGAGCCTGGAAACATGCCTCCCCCGCTGGGTCTGCACACAGCCAGGCCCTCGCTCTCGGTTGGCCTCTGTGGCTTCCCAAACACACCTCCAGGCCCCCATGGGGAGCCCAGCCCGTGTGCCCAAGGACGTCTACAGTAAAAGCTGGTCCCTCTGGCTGGGGAAGCAGCCTTTCGCAGGATGTGACTTCTCTGATCTGACCCCTGGGTTCAAATCCCACTTACAAAGTGGTGTGACCTTGGGCAAGTGACGTGGCCAGTGTGAACCTGTTTGCTCAGCTGTAAGCAGGAGTCGGTGGCACTTACCCTTGGGGTCGCCGAGCGGTGTGGAGGGGAAGGGCACGCAGCTGCGGTGTGTCCCTCAGCCACCCGTCCCTGCTCTGAGAGCCCTCTGTGTAGCATGGCCTCGCCTGGCCACTAGGGACCAGAGACGAGCTGGGTTCTGGCTTTAGTGCTCAGGAGGGACAAGGAGACCTGTGGGCAGCCGCGCCGCTCGGGCCCTGGCCCCCACTCACCCCTCCCTTTCCTAAGCAGCCTTATCTAATGGTGGAGAACCTGGCCTTGGCCGCACACCCAGGGTGGCAGAGGCCAGCGGGCCTCGCTGGCTGCCCGGCCCGTCACCCGTCATACTGACCTCCAGCCGCAGCCCGGCCAGGTGCAGGCGAAGGGCTTCTCGCCCGTGTGCCGGCGCAGATGGGCCTTGAGGTGGCTGCTTTTGGTGTACATCTTGCTGCAGCCGGGGAAAGTACATTTGTGCATTTTGATGAGTTCTGCTGCCGGGTTCTTAGGGAACTTCTGGCCCATGAGGAGGCCAGCAGGGCCAGGCCCCAGGGCTCCCGACCCAATAGGCTTGGCGGCAATGGGCACGGGGGCGATGCGCACGAACTTGGAGGGTAGGTTCAAGTTGGAGGAGGGCGCCACCTGGGGCACGAGTGCAAAGGTCTGCCCCTGGATGTTGACCAGGAACTGGGCCACCTTGACGCTCTCCGGGGCCTGCCCAGGGGAGGCGGGTTCTGTGCTCGACTCCTGCTTCACCTGCACAGGCTGGATCTGCAGCAGCACAGGGGTGGGGCCCTCAGGCGCCGGCCCCCCACCTGGGCCCTGGCTGCCACCTGCACTGGCGCCACCTGATGGGGCAGCACAACGCTCTCTCCCGCCAGACCCAGGATGGAGGTGGCTCCTGTGTGGCCCAGCCGAGAGCTGGCCGCAGGCCTCCAAGTCCTTGCTGTTGCTCTCTGGGGCCTCCTTGACCCCCAGCTCCATGTTCTCCTCCAGAAACTCTTCGATCTCCTCCAGGGTGGGCTGAAAGGGCCTCGGGACGTCATCGGGATCACCCACAGGAAACTCAGAGAAGCAGAAATGTTCCCCCTTCACAGATGCCGGTGCCCTCCGCCAGGCCCCCCAGGCCATGGGGCCACTGCTGGCCTTGATGCCACCACCACCACCCAGCGTGGCCTGGGACAGCAGGAAGTCCAAGATGCTGTCCTGGCCTTCCAGGCCTGGGCCGCCGCTGTAGCAGGAGCAGAGGACTTGCGAGTCAGGGCTGGCACAGGAGCAGAGGCTGGAGGCGTCGCTGTCGTCCTCTGAGAGGGGTGAAGGCAGCATGTGGTACACCCGGCCACTGGCCAGCCTATTGCCCAGATAACCAACCGGGCATTTCAGTGCCGAGAATGTCTCATCCACTGGAAGCAAGTGGTCCACCATGCTGGCCTGGCCGTACCGGTGGCGGCTGTGGAGAGGAAAAAGGGAGGCCTGGTCAGGAGGACAGCGTGCTCACCTGCCACCTCGTGGGCCTGTTGCTCTCCCTCCACTGCCTGCCCACAGCCTCCCATTGCCAAACGCCTGGATCCTGCCTCCATCCCGTCCCCAAGGAGAACGCTGCCACAGTGTTTTCCGAAATTGCACCACCTGTTTGCAAAAGCGCCCTCTCCAAGCCTGTTGCACAACCCAGGGCACTTTCGCTCCAAACAGATTTTCCAGAATGATTCTGGGAAAGCTCACGAACGTGTCTGTGAACGACTGAGCGTGTGTGAGTGAGGAAGTAAGCATGCGTGGAGGATCTCTGCACCCACAACAGCCGAAGTCAGGGCCCCTCCAGCTGAGCAGTCGCCGCGTCTCTGAGGACTCCTGACCTCAACTTCATTCCTGTTGAGTCCTGGGAGCAGGCAAGAGACGGGCCGTTTGCCCTCTGACCCCTGTGTTGTTAAGGCTTGGACAGGGCTGCCAGATTGAGCAAATAAAAATACAAGCCATCCAGTTAAATATGAATTTCGGATTTTAAAAAAGAAACAACTTTTAACAAAAGTATGTCCCAAACATTGGATGGGACATGCTTATACTAAAAAAGTGTTTTCTCTGAGATTCCAATTTAACCAGGCAGCCTATATTTCAATTTGGCAAGCTAAGTTTGTGGCAAAAAATTAGAAACCCACGGGCGCCTGCCCTCTCGCAGGCTCTGTTTCCCCGGAAAGGGGGGCAGATCACCCACCGTCCAGGTCTCAGGCCCCTCTGTGCCTCAGCTGCCTCCTCTGTGAAATGGGAGACACAGGGACGGCCTGAACAAAAGACTCTCCCCGGTGCCCCAGTTCTGCACTGAGGCTTCAGCCCTGGGTGGACGGCCCCATGCAGCGGATATGACGCACATGCAGACGTGCGGCCAGCCAGCCCGTGCACACGCACGGCTGCGACCTCCTTTGATTTCACAGCCACCTGGTGGGATTGGAGATAAGACCCCTGGGCCTGCACCCCCGGAGCACTCGCCACCTCAGGAAGGTCCAGCCGCTCCTGCCTCCCCACTAGACCAGGCGTTCCATGAGGGCAGGCAGGGTTGCTAGGGCTCCGCTGTGTCCCCAACTCCCAGAGTGGCAGCTCGTGCCCAGGAGGGCCTCAGAGAATGTCAACAGAGACAAGAGGGGAGAGCTGTGTCCTCTGAAGGCCATGTTAGCTCCAGCGTCCAAGGAGAGTCAACAGTGTCCAGCTGTGACAAGGGCCATCTCTGTGGACCTTTGTCCCCGCCCAGTAACCACAGCAGGCTGTTTACTGAGGTTAGGAAAGGAGAACGTCCTGCATTGGAAGCCAGAGACTCTGCTGCCAGGCGTCACCTCTGCGCCTGCCCCCACGCTCTGTCTCAAGGACCACTCTTGGGCCTGGCACCCAGTACCACCCAATGGTCAACAGGCCCAGCCACAGGCAGAGCCCAGGGTCATCGTCAGCTATAACCCGGGCTGTAACCTTTGCTCCCCCCACATTTCAGTTCCCTCATCTGTTCCCTGTCCCAGTGATCTCTAAGCCTTCCTGCTGTGAGGCGCCCCCTCTCTGACCTCAGCTCCCCACTCACCTGGGAAGCTCCTCTGAGCCCCAGAAATCAAGGCAAATGCCTCAGCAAGTCTGCATCTTGGGCAGTTCTGCCAGGATATTTGGCTCTTTGGTTTTAAATACTCAGCTAAGGATTTAACACTGCGAGTTTTAAAATACAAACTATTCACTAAATCGGGTGCTGAGAAGGTAGGAAAGTGCCAGGTAACTCATTGTGAGGGGCCATGAGGCTGGGCAGAGCCCACACTCAGCCCGGGACCTGCCCCACCTGTCACCCCCGCTCTGAGCAGCGGCTCTGCTGTTGCCTCTGCAACTTCTCAGCTGGCGACCTGGAGCAAGGGGCCCGCCTCTGCATCTGTGTCTTGGTCTGCGGGCGGGGATGCTGCCAACAGCACCTAGTTGCCAGGTTGTTCTGAGTCCAACGGGCTCTCACTGCAGGGGCTGACACACGTGCAGGCGCTGGTCAGCGCCAGCCGTTAGCCTGGGCCTCCGCAAGTGTGAACACATGGTCTCTCTGCCCTCTGCCTGACGCGAAGGGATCAGGGGGACTGCAGCCTCTCTGAAACCCGGGAGAGGCCAGGAGCCGCAGGGAGGGGCAGGCGGGGCCACGTCCTGCCTGCTTAAAACTCTTCCCCGAAATCTAGGATCACCAACTCAATATTCCAGGATGTTAACGAATTACTAACATTTTTAAGTGTGATGATGGCATTGTGGTTGGTACGCTCTTTTTAAAGGAGGCCTCCCCTTTCAGAGATATTACCTGATATACTCACGGATGAAATGATATAAAAAGAAAAGTGGGGCAAATAAGTTAGTACAGTACATTGAGCTGGGAGGAAACCTTCAACCGATTCCCAAGGAAGCGTGACCAGCCTCCTCCAGCAGCCCAGCGCCTGAGCCCTGCGCTCTCTCCAGACCTCACCTCCGCCTGCTCCACTCCACACTGGCTGTGCACCCAGATCACCAGCTTCCCCGGCCTCGGGCCACTGCCCTGGCTTCCCTCTCTGGGTTCCCTCTCCCCGACTCCACTCCACGTGGAGGGCCTTATTTAAATCTCAGCTCAGAAGCCACTCCCCGTGGGGGCCTCCCCCGACCACCCTCTGTTACATCACCCCATGTTAATTCTTCCTAGCAGTTGCCACAGTGGGAAACTATCTTGGTTATGTCTTTGTGTACTTTATTTTCTCTCTATCTCCCCACCAGAATACAAGTTGTTCTGACTGTTCAGTTCATCGCTGTATCCCAGAGTCTAAAGCAGGACCTGGCAGAATTTACAGACGGGCCCGCGGGTGGGGCGGACGAGAGGAGAAGTAAAACGGCCAGTCAGGCAGCAGGGTCTTAAAGCACGGCTAAGCAGCCTGGGCAGTGGCAGTGAGACCCCAGAAGGAGTCCTGGGACTGCCCGGGGCGCTGGCATTAAAGAGAGGCGCGCCAGGGCGGGAGCAGCTCGGCCGCTGAACCACAGCAGCACGTGGCACGGCCGGAGGCGCGGGCTGCATGCAGGGGGAGGACTCGCTGTTCCGGGCACCGTCCCCGGACGGCGGCCGGACTCCGCCCCCTCCCCCCCCACCCCTCCCTCCCCCCCGGCCGGGCCAGGCCTGCTGTTTATCCTCCCGGGGACACAGCGGCTAGAGGAACAACATGTAATTGATAACAAGCCGAGCGCCGGCCAAGGGCTTGCCATTGGGTCAGCGTGCAAAATCACGGGGGTGGCAGGCGGGGGCTGCCCTTCAAAATAAGAGTCTCCGCTCCGCGCGCCGCCCGCATGCCCCAAAGTCGCCGAGCCCCAGCGTCCTCGCACCTGTAGGGCGGCGGACGCTCTCCAAGAGCCAGGCCTTTGGGGATTTTGTCACCACCCGGAAATCGGGCGAGAAAACAGCCCTTCTGTATCCTGGGGGAACGGGGGTGGGGAGAGAGTTTCATGGGGAACACCACAGTGGGAAGGGAAGAGGGACTCGGACGGCCATGGCGGGCGGGGTGGCCTCTCCTCTGCCCCGCCGCCACCCCTCGGCCGTCGCTCCGCTAACGTTCAGTCGAGGGGGCCAGGGCACCGCGTGGGGGTCAGAGTGAGAGACGTGGGAACAGTGCGGGTGTGCGCGCAGGGGTGTGAGTTCCTGTCGTGTGATTGTGCGTGTGCGGGGCGTGGTGCGCGGCGGCCGGGGTGGCTGTGCGGGAGGGTGTCCGCGACGTCCCCGCGCGTGGACCGGCGTGGGCGCCCGCGCGTGTGCGGGAACGTGCGTGGGAAAGGAAGGCACGGGGAGCCCGCCCAGACCCTCGGCAGAGCCCTGGAGCGCTGCCAGCCGGGCACCATGCCCTCGGCCCGAGCCCCCTCCCCCGAGGCCGCCGCCACGGTGACCGACAGTAACCCCTCCGCACAGGCCCCTCTGCCCCGCTCCCGGCCCCGGGCCGGTGGGCGCGTCCGCCTGCCCGCCCCTCTCGCCAGGCCCCGCCGGGCGCCCGCCATATGGGAGGGCCGGCCCGCAAGACGGACGCGGACACGCGGGCCGGGCGCGAGCCGGCGGCCCAGACCTGCGCGTGGAAGTGCCGATGGGCAACGGGGGTCACTGTCCCACGGGCTTGTCCGATCCCCGGCCCCGAGCGGGGGCTCACCCCACTCCTCCGACATCTCCTCGGACGCTCGTGCGGAGCCCGGCCAGCGCCCCCCCGCGTCCCGGCCGGCCCCTGGGCGCCCGGGGCCGGGGCCGCAAGGCGTCCGCCTCGCCGCGCCCTCCCACCTGGACTCGGAGCACGCCCGGCCGGCGGCCAGGCCCCGGCGGTCCTGCGGCCGGCTCCCGTCCGGCGGCGGCGCGGGCCGAGCCGGGTGCTGCGCTCGCTCGCTCGCTCGCCCGCGGGCCGGCGGGTCGCTGCGGCGCTGCCTCCCGGCTCACGTGACGCCGCGGGCGCCGCGAAGGCTCGCAGGAGGCTCGGCCCCGGGCGCGCGCCCCATTGGCCCGCGCCGCGCGTCACGCGCCCCGCCCCGCGGCCCCGGCTCCGCGCCGCCGCGCGCCCCGGCCCGAGCCCCGCGCCCCGCGCAGCCGGTCCGCTTCCGAGGCTCCGGCCCCAGCAGGGGCGTGAGACGGGGCTCGGGCCCGGCGGCAAGCCCTGCGATCGCCGCGAAGCGCGGTCCACGTGGGGCCGGCGCCGTGGGGCCGTCCTGGCCAGGGCTGCCCCACCCCCACGCCCACCCCCAGCCCCAGCCGCGTAGGGGCCGCCCTGTCTCCCATTGAGTGCCAGATAAAGTAGGGGACTTGCCTTGGGGAAATACGGTACTGTCGGAGAAATACGGTATGGTCTTTCCGCTGAGCAATCTCAGTGACCCTCGGGAAAGTGCGCGCTCGCTGTGCTGCCACCGCCGCCTCCCGACGGTCTTAGGAGATTCGCTGACCCCTGCCTCACGCCAATGACCCCCGTCTCTGGGGCACCTTCCTGAAGACTAAGCAGTACTTCTCAGTCTATGAAGGCCGTTCGCAGACTGCCGCGGTCCGCAATCCCGGAGGCGTTTGCGTCCGCTCAGAGATGGGAAGAGCGAGGCTCAGAGAGACTTTTGCCCAGAAGAAACACGTGAGCTGAGGGTGCCGTTGACCCTGCTGTGCCCTTTAACCCACACTCCTGTTGGGTCCTCCGCCAAGCATTTTACAGATGAAGAAACGAACTCTGAGAGGCCATGAGATCCTCCCGGGTCCCCCGTCCCTCCCGCCCCCCAGAGCAAGGAGGAGAGAGGAGGGGCTGAGGCAGAGTGGTCTGTCTGCCCCAGGGAAGGCATCCGGGACACGTGGGCAGAGAGCTTCGGCCACGGCGCTGCCATCCTTTGCCCTCCTGGCCTGGCAGGTGGCTGGCGTTTCCCGTGCACCTCTCCAAGGGCACTGATGGAGCCAGAAGTCAGGCAGGCCCCTTCCAGGCTTTCTGGAATGCTGTGCTCCAGGCGCCTAAGTCTGTGCCAGCACCTGCCCCGGGGTCCTGGGCCCTCCTGGTGCACCCAGTCACAGCCAGGGATGCAGCTCTGCTGCCAGCAGGAGCCAACCGAGGAGACACGTTGAGGACAGGGATGACGATGAGGCTGTCTGTACACTGAACCCATGGCAGCCCTGGCTAGCATCTGCAGGACAGGTGGAATTCACCCGTTATAGAAGAGAGAGGTCTGGAGCGTTCCGTGACACACTGTCTTGTCTCTATGCAGGTGGGAGCTGGGCACATGCACAGAACTTCCCCGTCTACCCCACCTGCCATTGGTCCTTGCTCCTCAGACACTCCCAGCCTGGTGTCCCCCATACCCTGGGTGCAAAACCCTCCAGAGGTCAGAAGAAGCTTGGACACAAAAATACATCCTTAGCAGCTTCTGCGTGCAGCTGGTCAGAAACCGACGAACAGCCAAGAAGTTTCTGTCACAACCTGAGTCAAATCATGTCCCTTCTTGACTCGGAACATTCTAGTGGCTCCGACCTCAGCACAGCCTGCATGCCCTCCAGGATGTGACCTCACCCTGCACTCCGCTCCCCCTGCCTCACGTCGCTCTGAGCACACTGGCCTCCTCTGGGTTCAGCACAGTCCACCTCGGGGCTTTGTGCTGGCCATCCCACTACCTGGGGAAGCTCTTCCACCACAGGCCACGTGGCTCCCTCACCTCCTGCGTGCTGCCTTCTCAGGGAGCCCAGCCTCAGCCACGCAATCTGAAATGTCAACCCTCCCCTAATATTTCCTATTTCCCTGTCTTGCTTAACTGTTCCTGCTAACATGTGCTACACTTTACATGGTATTTTGTTTGCTCTTGTCTCCTCCACCAAAGCGGCGCTTTCCCTTCATTCCCGTCATTTCCAGCACCAAGTTCACGGTCAGGGCTCAACTGGTGAAATAATGGATTTCTGAAAGATTTCCTGCAAACAGGGTCAGCTTGAGAGAAATTAAATAGGGCTAAGAAACATACCCCAAACAAGCAAAGGAGTTGGTCACTGGAGAAATTAGGAGAACAATTTTCCCAAAGGAGACTAAGAACACCCCCAAGCTGGTTTCCAGGCACTGCTCTGTACAGGGTGCCGCCTTCTGGTTCATTCTCCCCATGCGTCCAACAGCCTGGTGAACTCCGTTCATCCTTCAGAAATCATCTTACACTTAACTTTCTCAGGGACGTAGTCCCGTTCCCACCTTATCTCCCACCTGCAGGCCCATCCTTCGTGGCATGGTGCCCAGAATACAGTAGGAGCTAAATAAATTTGCCAAGTGAATAAACAAATGAGTGAGTGGGGATACTGACCGTCTGCCTGGGCAGCCGGATACAGCATTTACACCAGGCCATATCTAGAGAGAAAACTCTCAACACAGTGGGGAGAATCTGTGACTGGATTCCTTGCCAAGGAGATGAGAAAGCAGCCAGGCGGTGCTCTTCAAACAGAGATGGCAAAAAAGAGAAATATTTCTCTTCACAGTGGTGAGAACCTCTAACATAGCTTCCCTCCAAATTAATTCCTTCCCTACTTCTACATCACTGTGCATAGAAAAGGCCTTAAAAGGAAATAAGCTATGTTGTTTGGCTATTTTATGACCTTGCCTGTAAAACCATTGGGGCCCGGTGTCTTTTGGGGTGTCGACCTGTCCTCGGCCTTTAGTTTTCCCACATTTTACCAAGATGCATCTGACTCTAGGCTCTTGTCTCTTTTCTTATTCTTGCTTTCTGTGGGTGTATTCTTTTAATCTGAAAACCCAAGTCTTTCTTTGGTTCAGGGAAATTTTCTCCTATTATTTCTTCTCCTTTCCCCCGCGTGTCTGCGTGTTTTGCTCGGTCGCCTGTCCAGGTCGTGGCTCAGATGCCACCCTGCGGTGCCTGCCTTCCTGCAGTGCCCCGTCTGAAACAGCACTTCCACCGCTCCCTGTTCCCTGGCCTCGATTCATTTTATTTCATGGTCCTGAATTCATATTCTTCATTTGTTTGTCTGCTTTATCACCTGCCTTTCCCACCAGCTGAAAGCTCCTTAAGAACATGGACTTGTATTCTTGCTTCGCTGCTGTATCCCCAGAACCTGGGACACTCCAAAAATATCTGTTGAGTGAAAAAAGAGAGTCTACCCTCTCCTTCTACAACTTCTAATAGATTATAGTGAGTCTTAGAAGAATTTCCTAGAGGACTGGCCTTGTCCCACAGCACCGTGGTCAGTGATCTGGGCCTCGTCCGTGTCCCACACCCATGCCCACAATCCTCCCCCCAGCACCCGCGACCTCCAGCCCCGTTCAGTGGCTCGGTGGTCTGGACACAAAGGGACAACCTGAGGCCATCAAGCCCTATGACCTCTTGCAATGACTGACTTCTTCCCCCACCCCTTTCCGAGTGGTAAGCAACAAATCCCCCCCTCTCAGCTTCCCGAGTCGAGCCTCAGGGCTCATTGGCCAGAGCCAGTCTCTTCCGACTGGCAAAGGGCTAGGATGCTGAGGAGACCCTACCTTGTGTGGGCTCAGGAAATGGTTTTGAGGTGGGAAAGGCCGTGGAGGTGGCCAGAGGCTGGGTAAAAAATACACTGCAGAGGGTTCCACATCACAGATTTCCTTTCCCCATCAAGCAGGTCCCTGGAGTTTATGTGTCAGCAAGAGGCCAGTTTTGTCCCTTCTCCAGCTAACCCCCAGGCCCCAGGCCCCAGGCCCCAGGCCCCTAGCCCTGGACACACACAGCTCTTAGGGACATCAGCCCAGGGCCCTGGGGGCATGACAGTTAGGAAGAAACCAGAGCAGAGCCTGAGTCCCCAGAGCCTGTCCTTCCAGCTCTGACTAGTGGCAGAGGCCCCAGGGACAGAGTGGGGCTTAACTCTGGGACGAGAGCTCCAGCTTCCCCTGCTTCGTAGCTGTGCACACCGGTGCAGCTCTGGGGGTGCAGGACCCCTCAGCCTCCCTCTCCCTTACCTCCACCATGAATGGTGGTCTCTCTGGCACCTGCCTGGTTCACAGCCCCTCCCTGGCTGAGTCATCTTGGGCAAGTCAGTTTGCCTGTCAGGGCCTCAGTTTCCTTATCTAGCAAACAGGTGCCAAGACCCCTCTCCTCCTTGCCGCACAGGATCAAATACAGTAATGGATGGAAAAAGGCATCGAAAAGTACAAAGAGAGTACGACGAGAAGCTGTCATCACTCGTCTCGGTATTTATCAAGTGCTCCTTGTCACCCACCCTCCCCTGACCCAGTGCTGTGCAAGGCTGCAGAGTGGGGACCCCTGTACCCCACCCCAGGGGCAGCAGAGTGATGGCACTGCAGGGGGTAGCAAGAGCTCCAGTGGGCCAGCCAAAAGCTCCACCTGGGGGAGGGAGTGACTTTGCCAAGAGTACACGTCCAGGCCCAGGGTAGGGCGGGCCTGGTTCTGCCGCACAGGGCACGTAGGGCCCACAAAACGCAAGAAGCCCGTGAAACAGTGGCCACATCGTGGATGGTACCAAGGCCGTGGAATTCTCTGTCCCCTACAGGTTCAAGCCCACTGGCAACTGGGCCATTCATTTGCATAATTCTTTTAAAACTAACACCTGCACATTGTTGTAACGTCCAAGCACTACAGAAAGGCACGAAAATAAAAACTAAATTCTGCCCAGCCCTGGTCCCCTCAGCGTTCCTACCCTGTTTTTGTATCCCCTCCTTTGTTCTAAAGAATATGCTTGTCCCTTCTGTATGTAAAGGAAGCGTAGACCCCCACCCTGTGTGCTGGACATTCTCTGTTTGCCCCTCAGACCACTCCTCACCTGCTCCGTGCCCCAGCTCCTCTGCACAGACCGTGACGGGAGACATCGGGCTTCCCAGGGGCCTGGCCAGTGGGAGGCACTGGTGACAGACTGAGGATGTGAGGACGTGCAGCTCAGTGGGTTCCCTCCGGGTCACTGGCAGCTGGCTGTGTCCTCTAACCAACA